TTCTTGAACTTGCATAAAATAGACTTTGAAATATAACACAATATGAGGAATTCAAGCCAATTTGGGGAGTCTTACAGAGCTTCAGGTTTTATTAGTGAAATTATTTTCTGGAGAATAGATAAATGAAGGATAGATACATACATAGCTGTAGATATAGATGAAAGTTCCTCAGAAATAGAGAATTCCAAGTTTCTGGTTTTTAGTTTAAGTGGTTGTCTTTCTCCTTCTTTTTCACTACGTCTGCTTTTTTTTTTTTTTTAGCTTGATTTGGCCAGTGAAACTGGTAAAATAAGGGAAGTGCCTTGAGTGTGGAAAAGCAGTGTGCAAGTGAAAGGTTTATCACTCTACAGTCCCTCACTGTTGTTTTTCACTATTGGTGGAAGCAAGATTTCTCGGTCTCAGTGTGACTGGTACTCAGGCTGGGGAATTTTTGTTGCGGGAGTTGGCCTGCACGTTGCAGGATATTTAGCAGCATCTATGACTTCTTACCCACGAGCTAGTAGAAGCAACTCAGTATTGTTTTTAAATTGTGATAAAATACACATGACATAAAATTACCATTTAAATAAATTTTAAATGTGCAGTTCAGTGGTATTAAGTACATTGACACTGCTGTGCAGCCAGGTCCAGCAGCCATCCCAGAGATGATGCATATTCCTAAACTGAAACTTCACATCCATTAAAAATGACTTGCCTTTCCCACCCTCAGCCCCTGGCAACCTCCATTTGACTTTCTGTCTCTGTGAATTTGACTCCTCTAGATACCTCCTACAAAGAGAGTCACTCAATATGTGTCCTTTTGTGACTAGTTTATTTCATTTAGTGTGATGTCTTCAAAGTTTATCCATGTTGTGCCATGTCAGAATCCCCTCCCTTTTTAAAGGCTGAATAGTATTCCATCATATGGATATACCACAATTGTTTATCCACTCATCTGTCCATGGACACTTGGTTTGCATTCACCTGTTGGCTATGGTGAATGATGCTGTTGTGAACACAGGTATACAAATGTCTGTTTGAGTTTCTGCTTTTAAGTCCTTTGAGTATATAGACAGAAGCTGGGTGAAATGTCTCTAGACATTGCCAAATGTCCCTTGAAGGCCAAATTATTCCAGGTTCAGAACCACTTGCCTAGAGAAACAACTCTCTTTGAACAGGGATATTTCTACAGAGCTGAATCACGGGCTTTTATGTTTAGAAGGAACATTATATGCTGTTTTGTTGCATGACTCCCCTCTACCTTACACTTGGCCACTAGCAGTGCTTGGGAACTCAGTCACCTCTCAGGCCACTTCAGACTCCCCCCTTCAGTTCTTCTCTCCTTAATCTCCTTTAGCCCGCCAGCTCCTTCCCACCATGCGACAAACCTGTTCCTGTCTCTGTACCTTGTATCTTTCACCTCCTAGTCACCAGCAAAATCTTAATGGAGTAATGTATAGAACTTCAACTCCCATTTATTCTTTAATCAATTAATGTGTGAAAGTGCTTTTAATATAATCACCAAATTGCAAGATTCAATCACTTCTTTTATTATTCTTCTTGACATAATATCGTTTAATCTGACTCAACTCTCCAGTATGTCATTTATGCAATAAGTATTACTTGTACCTACTACATAGTGCTGTGCAGTAAAGATTTTATTAACTTGTCCCTGGTTCCTGGAAAGTAACCTCTAAACCCTTTGAATTTCCCAAGTGCCAGGTATGGCCTTCACGATGCACCCCTCAGATCACACTTGAAAGCTTCTACTAACAACAATACTCCTTGTGGGTCCCCAGATGGTTTGTGAAAATGTGAGGACTCAGGACCATGGTTGGCCGTGCCGGAAAGACCAACCACGTGAGTAGACTTTGGGACTTGAATCTGTGGTACACGCCTGACCTCTGAGGAGGGAAATGGGACTGGAGATTGAGTCCAATGGGAAGCAATTCTACCAATCCTGCCTGCGCCAGGAAATCCTGATTAGAAACTGTGGACACTGAAAAGTTCAGGTCAAATTCCTTGGTTGGCAAATACTCCGTATATTGGCACATATTATTGTGTTGAGAAGGTAATGTGCCTCCTGGGGACAAGGAAACTACACATTGGGGACATTCTATGTGCCTCTCTTTTTGGCTGGTTCTGATTTCTATCCCTTTGCTGTAATGAAACTACAATCATTAAGCAGAGTGCCTTCCTAAATTCTGTGCGCTGTTCTAATGAATTACCACACCTGAGTAATGGGGAATTTTGAATTGTAGCCAGCAGGTCAGAACTGAGTGTGGCCTGGGGACTCCCCAATTGGTGGCTGGTGTCTGTGGTGAGGTAAGTCTTGTGGAGGAGTGTACCCTTAATCTGAGAAGTTTGGCTTAGTGCTTGGTAGCTAGTGTCCGAAGGCACTGCCATCACTCTGAGACACTCTGCAAAACCATGTTGAACAAACATGGTTTCCCAGCTTCATGAAACATAGAGTAGAGAGGGAAATTAAAATACAACCAGAAAACCAAACATAGAAACTCCTCTGGCTACAGATGAGTTAAATTTCCAACGACTATTTATAAGTCTATTTGTTTCTACGTCCAAAAGGATTCTGTACAAGTGATGAACATATGCACATCAATTAATGTTAGGTTTCACTTTATTTCCATCATAATCTTATGCGTTAATTAGTAGTTTTCATCGTTCTCACTGCTTGTATATTCATTGGACATAATGAGATTAATAATGCTCATAAAGCACCTCAAAATTAAGCACAAACATAACAAGCACTAGAGAAGGGAAGAAATCAAAACAAAATGACGAGGATAAAAATGTCTGTACATGCCACTTCTGTCCCCAGTCACTGGTGAGCAAAATTGACTTGGTTTTGTTCCAGAGCCAAGCTCTGTTTATACGAATGTCTAGGAGTTTAAGTTGAACTTCACAAGCAGAGGAGATACATACATACATGTATATGGATAAATAGGTGGCTCATTTAGGTGGAGGTTTAGGGAAGGCCTCTCAACACCCTGAAGGTTGAACAAAAATTAGGCAGAGTGGGGAGAGTATCGTTGGAGGGAGGAAGGAGCTGGGCACGTTGACGGCAAAGGCGAGTCTACGCAGGGAGCATGTCTGGGAGTGAGGGCGCAGTTCGGTGAAGGAGTCTGCCTCAGCAAGTGGCCCCCAGGGCTCCAATGTCAGAGGGTGCTGATGGGTGACGTATGTTTGGGCAGATGATATGGCTAACACTGGAAAATGCGCCAAAGTGGAAAACATACCCCGCTGGGGTGTAGACTTCCTGGGGAATATAGTATGTGTGCATGTGTTTGTGATTGCTTGTGTCTGAGTGGCTTAGAGCTATAATAATTTAGGGATAATCACAAGGAGATATCCGCCATGATTAAACCAGGACATTCCATGACTTATTTTCATTCATATGAACAGCAACACTATTGGGTATTATTGTTATTAATCAAGTTTAAATAAGAGAAGGGACTACATTTGAATGGTTGGATTGGGTTTTGAACCCAAGCAGCATGGCCCCAGAGCCCTCTCAGCTACCTTGTTTCTAAAACACATGCCCGTGTCGGAGCACGCCGCAGCAGGAGGTGCGTCCTCTCTGCCACCACATAGGGGGCCACTTGTGGAAGTGAAAAGGCTGTGGCTGCACTGCCACATCTCAGCCTCCAGTCAGCAGTGGCTGTGAATTGTTCCCACGCCCAACTCTGAGCCAGGCGTCCAGCCTTGGGACTAGTGGGGAAGGTGATGCCATAAAAGACTTCTGAGGACGAGGAATCTGCATTAAAGCAATGAGTTTCTTCGGAAGACTTGACTTCACTAAGTCAAGTGAAGGAGATTTGGCTTGTAGAGTAATATTGGAATAGTAGTACCAAGGGGCCTGAATTTCAATGCATGGCCGACCAAGTCTGGAGGACTCAGGTCTATGAAATTACTCAGCTCATCTCTGCTCTTCGCTTCTGTCCTGGTGTGAGTATCGTGGCTCCAGTCCTGAGCCTTCCATGTGCGAAATGACGCCACTCTTCTCAACTAATGTCACTTCTTCTAAGTCTCTGTTAATTTAACATCAAAACTCTCCAAACATATTTAACAATATTTCCCCAATTCTCCAAATGTTCTTGTAGTGCTAGTCTTGCTGATAGCACATTGCCCCCAAAAACTCCTTGTGCTTTCTCACTTGACTGTGTATTTGGCCAAATATATTTCATTCCACTTTAAAGTCCATTTGTACATCCTTTCATGAAGCTCCTCCTTGCAAGTCATTTCCCTTCTAGATCACCCATCGTCTGTGTGAGACAGTTTTTGCACATGATTATATTTGTTCTTTATTATATGCTGCTTTGTCTTTTCTCTAGATGTTCGGTACAGACTTCCTAAAGGTACAACACACGCACCTGGTAGGTATGGAGAAGATTTGAGGTGGTTCCACGGAGGTAGCAATGAATAGCATCATATCACATTGTGAGAAATGAATTCCCTCTTTGTGAAGGCATTTGTTTTACACTAGTCTATATTTAACCCTGTAGGACACAAAAACCTCCCTATATTTATTTATTTATTTTCACCAACTGTGCTGTTTATTATTTTACTTAACAAAAGCTTCACAAGGGTTATATTTACCAAAGCCTTGCACAAGAATTTACTAAATAAAGACAGGGTGTCCAAAGGGACCTGCTCTATCGCTAAGGAAAAAGAATGGTATGCAGAGGCATGCTGAAGAGAGAATACACTAGAGAAACATACCTGAAACAGTTCATCTTTATAATAAACAAGCACAGAAGGGAGAAAAAAGGGGACACGTTTTTAGCTAACAGAGTTTACAATTTTATTTTCACATTTCACCATACAAATGAACATTTTTTGGTCTCACTACTCCCTTCCAAAAGTGTTTTCTCTTTGATAGGAAGAGGGAGTGAGTCTTCCTTGTCACGCTGTTAGAAAACACCCAGAGTCACAGCGCCACACACTCCTGGAGAAGTAGAGCAAGGAATATAAAACTGACAGAAAGAGGCTCCCCTCTCTCCTTATCTGTCTGATTGAGTCACTCCTGGCCGAGTGGGCACCTCCACGGGCCGGGCGGGAGGTCTCATCACTGGGTTCCCAAGCATCCATGGCATGTGCCCTCGTGTAGGTGGCTTCATTCCAGGAGCAGGTCCCACTGGCAACATCCCAGGAGGAGGACCCATCATTGGCATCGTGGGAGGGGGCTTCGTATGGGGCGCTGGCATCATACCAGGGGGAGGTGGAATCATCGCCACCGCAGGAGGAGAGGCGGAGAACGGAGCAGGAGGTAGCTGTCCTTGCTGAAGTGCTGCGCTCGTTTCCACAATCAGGCTCTGAGCCTGCTCCTCCATCCATTTCTGAGAGTAACCTTTCACGTTCTCTCTGCATGTCCTCCCACCGCAGCGTGTCCTCCTCGCAGATGGAGAGTCCTGGGTGGGGTCCGAATCGCAGAAGTCACAGTAAAACCCGGGCAAGTTGTTCCACGGGCCACTCAGCCACAGAGACCTCCCTACATTTAAGTGAAAGTGTCTCAGTATTGAGATGGAATGTAGTAAAATATTTTGATTCCACTGTATTTATTTTTATAAATAGAAGGCAAGTAATAGAGATAAACCATTCGCCATGGTAATATAATTTTTAATAGATAGATTCAAATAAAAATGTGAGTAAATGTCAAAAATTAAATAAATACAAGTAGAGTCTGTGTGTAGGTGTATGAATAATCATAAAGGGATACGCAAGTGCCAGAGGTTTGGAAAATTCTGGTTTCCTGAGCTACCAATGCTATGTCACCATGAAGCATAGGTTGGCCAAAAAGTCCGTTACATTTCTTCCATTACTATGGCTCTAGTAGTTAAGTGCTTAGTTGTTGTTAACTTCATACCAAACAATTTTGTTAGATTGCGCTATAACAGCTGTAATATCAGCCTGCATTTTTTTTTTTCAGAGAGAAGTTGAGAATCTTGCCTTAGGTCACACAGCTGGAGGAGACAGAGATTAGACTGAAACCCACCGTCAACTGATGTGGAATCTGTATGCTGTGCACCAGGCAATGCTGACCCTGAAGGGGCAGCAAGGAGTGAGGATGAAGCCAGACTCACACCCGTGCACAAGCATCCATCCCTCCCTGCCATTCATTCACCTCTGAGGCTCCAGAGGTTGTAGGAAACTAGGAGAAGAGCCAAGAGAAGCCACGGAAGGAGGGGTGCGGAGCTGATTAGGAGAAAAGGCCCCTTTCCGAGGAGTCCGGGAAATTTCCTTCCCTGATGAGTCTGTCTCTAATCCCTCTCTCTGGGCAGTAACCGAAGTAGACTGACTCCAGATTACACATTTGCAGGCCTTGAATTTCTGTGGCTGAGAGTATGAGTCTTTTGTGGCAGGGAGTTCTTCAGAAACCCTCTGCTTTCAGTGATGGGGAAAATGAGGAAAATGTGTATGGAGACAAAATGTTTTAGAATAGGTCAAAAAACCATGAGTGAGTTTGTTGCTGACATCCCCATATTACTGTGGAACTGTTTGTCCATCTCATCTCTTGTCATGAAACTGGAGGGTTTGTTTAAGCAGTTACTTCTCCACTAATTACAATCTTGGGGCGAGTAAGGGACTGTAGACTTCCTATGGCTATTGATAATAATAACTCACTCACTCCACCTGCAAACATAGGGCTTCTCCCCTGAGTGTGTCCTCTGGTGTGCAATGAGAACTGACTTCCAGGTAAAGCCTTGCCCACACTCCCTGCAAACATAGGGCTTCTCCCCAAAGTGTGTCCTCTGGTGTGTGATGAGATAACTTCCGTGTAAAGCCTCATCCACACTCCCTGCATACATAGGTCAGCCTGCATTAAAAAAATATCAAAATAGGCTAATTTTCGTGCAGCCATTTTAATATTGAAGATGGAAGAAGAAACATTTCTTGCTGTATTATGCTTTATTATTTCAGGAAAGGTAAAAATACAACTGAAACACACAAAAAAAGATTTGTGCAATGCACGGAGAAGGTGCTGTGACTGATCAAACATGTCCAAAGTGGTTTGTGAAGTTTCTTGGTACTATTGACATTTTGGCCAAATAATTCTTTGCCTTGGGGCTGTCTTATGCATGGGAAGATGTTTAGCAGCACCCCTGGCCTCTACCCACTAGAAGCCAATAGCAGGAGAGAGCCAACATATTCACAATATCCAAATCAATAAAGTTATTCGTGAAAATGAAAAAATGTCTTTTGTGGAAAAAAATGTAACAAACTTTTTGCCCAGCCCAACAATTCACCAAGTTAATGATATTCTTAAGAAGAAATAGTGGATGATGGAGAAAACTTTGATGTGGATATTGGGGAGTCTTGCTTCTAGCTTTGGCCTGAAGGCTTAGGAGGACACATTTAGCAGCCGTGTCACCTGGATTTGAGTCCCGGTCTTACTATATGTTAGCTGTAGTAGCTTAGATGATTACGTAGACTTTAAGGCAGCAACGTTTACCAGAACTTTCTGTAATGATGTCTTACGTTCCATAGTTTGAGGTGAACAATGCCGTAACCACTACTGAGCTCTTGAAATTTGGTCCCTGCAACTGAGGAACTGACCATTAAATTTTATTTAAATTAATTTACATAACAACATGTGTCTAGTGGCTGCTAATTGGACCGTGGCAACCCCAAATCTCAGTTTTCTCATCTATAAAGATTAGGATAATATTTGACGCAGGGGATAGTTTGAGAATTAGTAATACATGTATGTAAAGCACTTAGGACTTGGCACAAAAATTATAATTAATAATATTAGCACTATATTTAACTAGCTTTATAGGTAATGTATTTCACATCCCTGAAATTCAATTGTTGCTTTTGCATTTTAATATTATGGTGTCTAAGACCACCCAAGCACCGAGGTACTCAGTTCAGGTGTGCCACAAGGCCGAGCATAGAATGCATAGTAAAGGCTCAGTAAGTAGGAGTAAAGGGGAATGTAGTTAGGGGTGGATTTTTTAAATCTTATTTAAGAGTGCCAAATTTCTTAGATGTGCAAAGTTTAGATGTCTGAGACAATAAGAGAAAATGCAGGGTAACCAAAATAAACTTTGAGTAAATTAAAAATGTTACTTTATGTCAAAAGCATTCTAAGTTGGATCTCGAAGCCAGTGTGAAGGTTTGTTGAATTGCATCTGTCATGTGTTAAAGTGCCTGAAGTTTTGGTCTTTCTGTATCCAGTGAGCTCCCTGCTATTGAAGTTAAGAACAATCTGACAGTAACCAGATGGGAGGTAGGAGATGATAATGGGGGGAAAGGGGGAAGGGTTTTCAGGAACAACTAACTATAAAGGACACATGGATAAAACCAAGGGAGGGGTGGAATCATGGGAGGGAGGTGGGGATGGCTAGGGTGGGGGGAAAATGCAGACAACTGTACTTGAACAACAATAAAATATTTAAAAAAACAATTGGAGAGTTGCCATTTATTAAGAGCCTAAGGGGTGCCTAGCACCTGCCTCAATTGCTTATTTCACAGCCATCTTACAATGGAGGTGCCACTGTCTCTATTCTAGAAGCCAGAAAACTGAGCCTTGGGCAGAGGGAATGAGTTGCTCAAGGCCACACACCTAAAGCTGGCCTTCCTTGGTTATAAGTTTGCTGTCTTTCCACCACAGCCCGTTACACCTCTGCAGGCCCATCTAACGAAGATACAATAGCTGTTCCATCGTTGGATTCAATTAGCATATTTGTTTGAATTCATCTGAATCCATATAGTTCTTTTTTTATAAATCCACACCCAAAGACATTTTTTTCATTGCTTCCAGAGAGAGAGGAAGGGAGAGAGAAACATCAATGTGAGAGAGAAGCAATGATGGAGAGAAGCATTGATTGGTTACCTCTTGTACAGGCCCAGACTGGGGATCATATGCTCTGGGACTGGGAATAGCATCTGCAGTCTAGGTATTGATATGTGCCCTGATGGGGGATAGAACCCACAACCTTTCTGGTTATGGGACAACACTCCAGCCAACTGAGCCACACCAGCCAGGGCTTAATCCATACCATGCTCTAGCATTCTTTTTCAAGACTACTGCCAAGGATTATGATTTCACATGTGTATGTTTTGGAGGATTCTGCTGTGAAGGCTAGAGAAGAAATTACTAAGATATAGCTATAGCATTTATAGTTAACATTTGTTGGCAATTAGAATCAGGATCTAAGTGTTTTACTTGGAATATTACATTTAATCCTCTTAACCAATCCTATACATGCTATTCTTACACCCATTTTATTGACAAGTAAACTGGAGCACAAAGGGCAAACAACTTACTTAGGTGACTCAAGTATAAGTAGAATTTGGATCCAGGAGTGGGACGTGAGCAACCAGGGTGTCTGCTACCATACTATGCTCAGTTTTCAGGCGTGAAGCCTAAGAACTGGCGGCCAGAAGGATTTCTCCAGAAGCCTCCTTATCGTGACCTGAATGTTCGTTGCCTCCTTCATGCTATTTTTCTACTTCGCGTTCCTCCCCCATGCATGTCTAAATTCCAATTTCTTTTCTCCTCTGCTTGTTTTCACTATTGGGATGCTTACATAACATTAGGAAGTATGTGGGTTTTATGCCAAAAAACAAAACAAAAAATCTTTATTGACTGAATAGTGAACTTTTGAAGCACTTGGAAAAGAAAACTGTTATGTGAATTCAATAAGCATAGAATCCCATTTCTCAGTTTCTCCTTCATTTTTGCCAGTACAATTTTGATGTGGCAATAGAAAACGCATTTATGTTGTACTAAAGCTCCAATATTGTATTTTCTGTTAAGAGAGTATGGTTTTAAAAAAAATCCACGTAACTTTCTGTTTCTAGAAGAACTGTAGTTCTCAGAACTGCAATATTAGAGATATTAATGAGAAATATCCAAGGGGAACACTAATCATTTGAGAAAAAATACATTTTCTGTGTCAAGGAAAAAATATTCCCGTGTTGTAAGTGGGCCAAATTATGAGAATTATTCACAGACTTTTTTTAATGGCACTTAGTAGAGCAGTCAGGATAATCTATGCTCTGTTGCATCATGCAGTGCGTTCAGGATTTGGCATTTAAGTATGATACATGTTAAATTGAAAATAGCCACTTGTTACAGAGAAAGAGTAAGGGAATTCTATGAGTTATTTTTCACCTGTCAGAGGTTATCGGAAGCTGCAATTCAAGAAAAAATGAAACGGGAAGATGTAGGTTGCCCAGCAGACTAGTGCTACTTAGCGAACTCCCACCCTCCCCAGTGGGGTTGGAATCTGACTGGCAAGGAAGAGCCACACTTTGATACTGATAATCATGGGAACCCATGGCAAAGGTGTTCAGATAACGTGCAGAATTTACAAAATGTTAGGGTTTGTACGGGATAGGCAACGTCTGCCAGCTAACCTGAGTCAATCCGGTTTTCCTCCCGTTGCTGCCTGACTAGAGATAAAACAAAATAGAATACATTGGATGCTACGCACTGAACTTTACCACTTGTAAATTTACATGAGAATTAGTACTTATTCT